CCTTTTTTATTAACACCATACAGAGATCCACGCTACAACTCCAAAGAATATAAGTTCAATTTGGCCCATTCATCGCTCGAAATATTGAGGAGCGAACAATAGGAGTGCTGAAAAGCCGATTTCGCTGCTTATTGATCACCTTGCACTATCGGCCAGAAAAAGTGGTGAAAATTATAAATGTTTGCTGTGCGCTGCACAATATCTGCAGAAACTACAACGTGGAATATAACGACGACAGTATTACTTTACCATCAAATGATACTGATGAAAATGTTGAATCTCCACCGAACGCAACACTGCAAAGTGAAGGTAAAAGGATGAGGGATGAAATAGCCAACAGTTTATAGCAAACCAACTGAATAAAAATTCAAATATTTATTTATTAAAAAATAAAAAACACATTTATTTATTTAAAAAACACGCATATATATTCATTAAAACAAAACAAAAATTCATTTAATAAGTAAATACATTTTTGTAAAACTTATATAAAACTTATATATAACTATTTATAACAATAAAATAAGGCACATTTTTAGGTACTATAACGACCACAACCAACACTTTTTTGACATTTTTTAAAAGGGAAATTACTTTTCTTTCTGTTTTTCGTAATCAAACTTTAGGAGTTCGAGCTCGAGTTGCTTTTCTTTTATTTCGTTTTTTTCCTGTATCGCTCGCAAAACACCTGTATTAATACGGACAAATTCATCCTTGAGCTCAATTACTGCAATCGCGACAGATTCGTTGCTTTTTTTTATGGCTCTATACACTCGTCTGAGGCTACTGTCGTTTTCTTTTTCAATCTTAATTAGCTCGTTCAATTTTTCATTTATTTCGAGCTTTCTCTCATTGTCTTCATCGAGAAATTGTTTCAAACGCTTCCCAGTTTATCTGTCGCACTATTGTCTCTTCCGTTTGCGTTAGTTGGTGCTTAGAAAAGGGTCCTCCACCAGTTGCTCGAGACTCGCTTTTGTTTTGTGCGAGCTTTCTTTTTATGTCACTTTTCTACTCCGTCCACGTCTATACATATGTATATAAAAAACAGTGTAAGTTTAAGGCACGATTTAATTTATAGCACCAATTATGCTTTACTTTTTTCCATCCATTGGTATCCTTTTGTGGTGGACCTGCACTGTTCAGCGACTCAACTAAACTGTTGCCAAAGGGCATCAACAGTTGGTTTATCCCGCTTTGTAAAGCCTCTCGCAATATCTGGATATTTCTCCATAAATTCCACGATAATGCTGTTTTGAGTTGCATTTTTATGCTTTCCCCTAGTTATGAATAAAAATATGAATACATTAATTATTATTTTTATAAAATAAACCTTCTTTTACTCACATTTTTATAAAATGTCTAACTGGAAGTAAGAAAAACTAATAAACAAATGAAATCCAAGAGCTGTTAGCTGCTTGGTTTGTTTCCGATAGCAAAATCGATATTATTGATTTCTGTGACACCTAAAATCGACACTAATTCCGATTTGAACATAAAACCGATAACATTGGATTTCATGACACCAAAATAATTTTTTTGTCGTTTTCAAATCCAATTCCGACAACAATTGGATTCCATGACAGCCCTGATTATCGCGATATTTTCCCAATAGTTTCATCGCTAAACTCACTTGTACATCACCAGCTAGATGACATGTGTGAGCGAGTGAACATACTAGGAGCGTTCCTTATCTCCCAGAAATAGTCAGAAAAAGTCCGAAGTAGTCAGATTTAGTCCAAAAAGCGTTCCTTAACTCGGAAATGACAGCAAAAATGAGAGAGCAACATTCAGTGAGAGTGACTCTCATCAGTCCGAAGTAGTCAGATTTAGTCAGAAGAATTTTTTCTGGCAAAATCCTGAAAAGTGTCAAACTCAACTGAATTTAAATTAACGGAAATTAAAGAATACGCTAAAAGTGAGAATAATCTAAAAAGTAAAAGAAATGAATTGAAATTGGAAGAAGGCAAAAAATAATTGATATAGCAAGTGTTTATTGTGCTTGTGCTTGTGTGAATGTGTTTTGTACATATATTTCTGTTCTTATTTGACGTTAGTTTTGTTGTTGCCATTCTTTGGACTAAAAATTTGATTTTTTGCGTTCCTTTACTTTTCCTGTTATTCTCTTTTAGTGAGCGCATTTTGCTTACGCTCTGGCATTTTGACACTTTTCAGATTTTAGTCCAAAAAGATAAGGAATGAACCTACTGTAAGGCAAATGCGCCCGTGTGTGTGCAAGAAAGCGATGCACTATCACACGCCCAGAGAAGTGGTCACTTTTTTCCCCAAGCCCATACAAAACTAACCGCTAAACTGACGAAAAGTTATAGTCAGTTTTCCCAATAATTTAACCGATAATCATAGGTCAGGCTTCCCTGCAAAAATCGTTGGACCATGTAGTCTGTTTGTGGTAAATTGGAGTACTTACAAAAGTGTTCCTCTGTCATGCTGTAGCGGACCAACTCGTGTCTCTGCGCCAGCTTGTTGTTTGTTATCCGATCACTGCTCGTGTTTTAACGAAACGTGATTGAAGTTGAGCATTTGAAAGCACATTTGCATGTCTGGCTGTAGCTGAACGTGTAGAGATGCTCGCTGTTAGTTCTTAGCTCCCAGCATGTTCGGGTTCGAATACCGTCAGAGGCAACATGTAATTTTTAATTTTTGTCTTGGTTTTTATTAATTTCGAAAAAGCATTTGAGAAGTGAAGAACAAAAGCGGGTACAAACGAAAAAATATAACAACAATGCCCATTGTTAATATGTTGGAGTAGTTTTGTGCTACTCTGATGTAATGCAGGGATGGAGTATATGGTCCTGCCCTAGGACATCGCAATGTTAATTGGACCATATTTTTTATATGAATTGCGGTTAATTTTGGAGTACTCTTTGGTCCTTAGGGAGTACTCTTTACACGCATGCATGGAGTAGTCGTGATTTTTGCAGGGTTCTTGCAGGGCTGCGAGCATGGGATTCAAACGATGCATCGATATTTTTGAAACATCGATAATATCGGTTCAAAATTCAATGTTTGCCATCGATGTTTACAATTTCCTAACACTTGATATACAGTTCAATGCGAGCGTGAGCGTGAACTTTTTATTTTGACCAATATCTTCGTTATTACTCAACTTTTTGCTATAGTTGAGATATGAAAAGATAGATAATTAAAATTAAAAACTAATTTAAAATGCATAATATGCCTTTTTTTCGAGCTCACACTCAAAGCATTCGCATGTGAGCGGCAAGTTTTGACAGATGTGTGTGAGCGTCCATAAGAATACAAATGGAATTCTTTGCCTTTGCGAACGTTCACGCTCACGCTCGCATTGAACTGTATATCAAGTTTAAATCGCTAAATTGACGATACATCGATGCAAGTTTCAGCGATATTTTAACATCGACTTAAGTGTGACTCAGACTTGAATTCAACCTACCCATTGTGCTCCTAAAATTTTTGTCTGACAATGAATTTTAGTACTTATTTTTTTGGAGAGCATTCAGAAATTCCGAGTTTACTCTTATCTTTCGATATTAAAACTGCTTACTTAATCATTAAAAAAAGGCCTGGTTCCCGTTGAAATTTCAACGAAATTGGGCCTTGGAACTTAAGGCTCAGCGAACTTTCGACGGCATGCATTTTTATTCTATTTATAGGAAGGGTAAAGGAATTGTAAATAAATACAGGGAAATACATCCATATGTAAGGCTGCGTTTCACCAGATTCATTTAAGTGAAAATTACTTTAATTTTCGAATTTTGAGTTTCACCAATCTATTTTAATTTGTTTTTAATATTGATTTAAGTGACATATGCTCTTAAATAAAAATTAAATCAGAATAACCACACTCAGAGTTGTTACACGTTTAATTAGCTGACCAATATACACACACCGCAATTTTGTGTATCTGCTGCTTACTTGTACACCAGCCCAGCTTACAACACAGCGTGCCAAAGCTTTCAAAAGCTCTCAGTACAAATGAAATCTTTCGCTGGCCAAGTTTGTTTTACAACCACTTTTTATTCACTTAAATAAAAAGCTTATTGAAACTGAAAATAATTTAAATGATAATTAAATAAAAAATTTAATTGAAGTTAATTTCCACTTAAATGAGTTTGGAGAAACGCAGCCTAAGTACTTTCCTAATTGAATTACAGAGAGTCGGAATTGAAAAGTATTAAAATTTCCTTTAAGGGCCGGTTGTTCAATGTCTGGTTATCACTACATGCCGGTTAAACATCAATAGCGACGTTTTCGACATCATACAAATAACATGCGATCGATAAAGCAGTCGTTGTATTTAACCGGAGCTTCTACATTAAGTAACCAGCCCTTAATGTGACTACAACCTAAAGCTTTGGTTTCCTCGAAAGTGGTAACATAAAAGAGCGGTCGCAACTTTACGTTGCCAAAAACGTTGCCATGTAAATATTGCAAGATGTCAACTAAGATGAGGGCAATACACACCGTAATGTAATTTGACGGCACCGTAATATTTCTGACGGCAAAAGTGATGGTGTACAACTATTTATCAACGTTTTATAGCAACGTCATATTTTAGCGGTGTATTAGAAAATTTTTTTACAATTCTTTTGACCAAAATAAAAGCAATAAATAAACATTTCTATGAATTTTGAATAATAAAGTGGAAAGTGCATGGATGGCCGAAGAGGATTGTTGTGGACTGTAGATCGGCAATTTATTATGATTGAAAATCAATCTAAAGCAGCATATACGCAGCAGCATACAATTAAACCAATATTTGATTGCGTAACGAAATGAATCTTTATTTTTAATGTAGTATGGCAAAATACAATATATTCGCGAACTTTCCTTAAGACCGCATGCCACCGAAGATGCTGTGTCAAAGGAAAAAACTGAACAACGGTCACCTGAAGTAGGTGTATATATACATGTGTACATAAGAAAGCTAAACCGTTTTCAAATTCAATTACAACAAAATTTCATATTCACAGCACAGTTGGAGTAAATTCGGTATTTAAGCTGCTGAGAGCAATTAGTACGAAGATAAATGAAAGAATATGCAAAGATTGTGATGCCAGAGTGAGCAATGTTATTAATTGGTTAAGTGGAATCCTTAACATTTCCGCCCGCCAGCACAACCGTTGTGGCGATGCTCTTCATTGAAAGGAACTGGAAGCACTGGCAATTTAGATATTGGTCGGGTTAAAGTTGTTGTTGCCGTCTTGATTGTAACTATCCGAGTAAGGTTGTGTTTTCCAGGGTGGAGATCTATTACCTTTGCTAGAGGCCACTTGCACGGCGGCAATCGCTCATCAGTTAGCAGTACAATCGATCCAATTTTAATGTCGTTGTTAGGATGATACCATTTTGAGATTGATTGAAGGCGTTGTAAATAGTGAGTAGACCACTGAGACCAGAATTGTTGCACCCTTTGTTGGATATGATGCCACCGCTGTAGCCTTGTGGTTGATAGGTATGTCAGTGATGGTTCTGGTAAAGTGGTGAGAGCGTTACCGATGAGAAAATGTCCGGGCGTGAGAGCTGACACGTCTTCAGGATCATCACTTATGGCTTCTAGTGGCCTTGAGCTGCTATAAAGCCATTTGATGAATAGTCGGTGACCGCTTCAAGATGAACCGCCGAGGTTGAAAAGCACACAAACACACAAATCCAGCTTTTGTATGATTTGGATCCTCTACCCTTCCAACTTTTGACATTTATTGGTCCGGCGTAGTCCACTCCAGTGTGCGCAAATGGTCGCGAAGGTGTAACTCGCGAAAGAGGTAGTTGGCCCATCAATTGCTGAGCACGGATCCCCCTTTGACGAGCACACACAACACAACGCAACACATGGGACTTGACAGGCGCCCGCTCTCCGATGATCCAATATTGCTGTCTGAGGTGAGCCACAGTTAGCTGTGTGCCGCCGTGGAAGGTGCGCTGGTGCGAAAAGCCGATGATAAGTGACGAGAGTTGAGAATGATGAGGAAGAATAGCCGGGTGTTTTTCTGAATAATTAAGGTTGGAGTTTCTTAGTCTACCTCCGACTCTGATGATACCGTGAGTGTCTATAAATGCAGTAAGTCGATTGAATGGATGATTGCCGTGAAATGTTGAATCGCTTCTAAGAGTTTTCAACTCTGCTGAGAAGTACACCCTTTGAGTTTCTTGAATCCAAAAGCGTTTGGCCTGTTCAAGATCTACCGCGGTGATGTTTGTCACTGGACAATTAGATAATTTTCCTCGTAATCGACGAAGAATTCTAAAACAAAGAGCAGTAATACGCATTAATTGAGTTAGTGAAGAATACCTGTGAATTAAATCCCAAGGGTAATCAGGTTTTGCAGCCGCAATCATGGATGCTACGCCAGGGCGAGCCTCTTGTAAGCTTTCTGCGTCTGAGCCTGCTGATTGAGAAGGCCATAAAGAGAGGTCCTCTCGCAACCAAGTTGGTCCTCTCCACCAGAGAGGATGGTGTAATAACTGTGATGTGGTGATCCCCCGTG